AAGAAGAACAACAAATCAAATGAACTGGCCATGTAACAATATAAGCTTCAGACAAGGCACCACAGAGAGCAATGTTATACAGATACAGCGGTAACAGAGGTCGACCATGAAGAAGATGAACCGCAGAAATATCAGAGAGACTGAAAACTACTATATACCAAGCAAACAGAAGGGCTCATTCTAGAGATCTTCTCCTGCCCTGATGTCATGAAGCATTCCAGGAGTAGAGGAAAGACGAGAAAGAAAGAATTCTTCTGCTTTTAGTCAAAACCTATTCAAATGGCATTAGCCGACCTGCAAAATCTTCTTATTTTCAAGGGCTGTAGCATTGGGATAGTTGGTAATGACAAATCTATGGCACTAATACAGTTATGTGACTTGGGGGTAAAGCATGGTGAAGCACTTCTGTGCCGTCTTTAAGAGATAGGTGACATTATAACCAACTCCCCATGGGAATGATCTGTAGAGGTGCTTTGGAGTAGCTGCTGCATCGGGGAACTGAGCACGCATGAGTGTGCCCATATTTCATACTTTCAAAAAATGCATTAGTTGAAGTTCCAACTTCACCGCAAATGGGTTGTGGTATAGCTTCTTTGTTTCTGTGCTAGAGGAAATCACACAAAATTACATTTGGTGTCCCATTTGAACACTAGGGAAAATCTTGTCAGTCCTAGCAAACTCTTGAAAATGGCACACGCAAAGTAAATGCATAAGGCAGCTGTCAGATGTGCCAACACTAACAGTCCCCGCACCATAATTACAGCTCACTGTTCAAGCAAACAGTCGTTATGAAAGCCAGCATTGCACACACAGTATTGCATACATACGCACCATTCTGAACATAACTGGCCACATGCCAATTTCATTGCAGTTCATAGCACCAAGCCATGGTAGGAGCAGCAGAGAAAAAAGTGCTCCACATGAAATCTACAGCTGACGGCTCTGTAGCTGGCTGACAAAGAAAACATGCATTCTTTTTCTTAAAGTTCATGCCGTGTGGTGTTGGTAGTCATGTCTATCCACAACCTTCTGTCTCATGTACTTTCAATCTACTCTGACATAGATGATCTTCCATAGTCCATGACATGTGGCCTTGGTTGTCAAGTCTATCCACAACCTTCTGTCTCATGTATTTTCAATCTACTTTAACACAGATAATCTTCCATGCCATGATGCCAAACTGTCTAGCATCTGTTCTCTCGGTCCTCCTCTGCCTCTCCTCCTCTCCAGCTTTCCTACCGTCAGGATACACTCCAGTTTTCTCCTTCTCATCACATGACCAAAGAATGTAGATTGTCTCTTTGTGCAATCAGTTCTCTTTGTGAGTCAGTTTCTTTTAAGATGACCTCATTTCTCTTTTTATCTGTCCAGAGTATTCTCATCATTTGTCTACAAAAACCACATCTCCACAGCTTCCAAATTTACTAACTGTCCATGATTCACACCTGTATATCAGTATAGGATTTATAAAGCTTTTAAGAATTCTCTTTCTCATCTCAATTGACAAAGAAAGATTGCATAAAATATTCTTCATTTGGTTAAATACTGCCTTTGCTTGAGCATTAGCAGTGACAAATCACGTATTTGGTTTCATGTAAAAGCAAAGATAATTGGTTTCTTCTCCTTGACGATCACTGGCTGCAAACTCCAGCAGAAAGTTCTGGGAATTTTATGTGCACCTCCATTTTACATATTTGGCTGATTTGTATGCAAACTGATAGTTCCCACCTCTCAGGTGACTTAGAAGGAAACATCCTAATTAGTCGCCTCCAGTGACATGCTTATTAGCCTATTAAGTGTCCCCCCCCCCCTCCCCCCCTTTTCCCCTCAAAATGGGACCCAAGAACCCACACAGGAAATTGGTTTCTGATTTACCTTCTCTTCCATCCACAGCTCACGAGTTCTAAAGAAGCAAAGAATGCAGCACTGAAGGCTATTCCTCTTGGCAGGTTTGTGATTTGTCTGAGTTTTGTTGTTACTGCAATAGTTACAAAAGGGGCGCCCAAAAACAACATGAAGACGAACAATGGAAAGTGACCTGAGTGTGGCATCTTTGACATGGAAAACTGCACTGAAGATTGCACAGGACAGGAAAGCATGGAAAGTCCTCTCTAAAGCCTCATGTGCCACTAGACTTAACAAGAACTGATGATGTAACAGTTACATCTACCAGTGTGGAACTTGGACCCGTACTAGACCTACAGGAGGCAGAATTGTACCTACATAAATGAGATGTCTTAGAATAGCTGCCAGAGTTAACAACAAGAGATAACATTAAAAATTAAGAAATTAGAAAATGACTAGGACTGAAATTAGACATACAGTTCATTAAAGAGCAACAGGTGAAATGGTTTGGCCATCTGAGGAGAATGCTCGGCAATCCGACTGCCTAAAGAACCACACTGAAGACTGTAATAATCTGTTTATGCCTCTGCACTGTTCGCTCGCTCCCAAAGAGCCCTCAAAACATCTAGCTTGTTCACCACCAAGTGATGCAGAACCAGCATCTCTGTCTGCATGTTCAATTCCCAATTCACCGGCATGACCTGGAGGAAATATCCAAAAGATGCTAACTGCCTGGAACATCTGAAGCGATTCTTGTCACTCTACACGGAGCCTGCCTATCTCCACCTTTCTCACCATGATCTGTTAGTCAGTTATGTGACGTGTGTACAGCTGATCTTCAAACCAGCTGAAAGCAGCAGTGACTGCCTTCACCTCAATTCTCCAACTAGATGTTGTGATATCATATGCCAGGCTTTGTTGCACTAAGCAACTTCCATTCACTTTTGCTATGTACCCCATGCACTTCGTCTGCCTCTTAACACAGAGCCATCTGAATAGATAATCACATCACCTGGGCGGGAATCATGAATCATTTGTTAAGATAGAGTGAAATATGCCAGGCCATAAATTGTGCAGGTCAGGTTTAATTTAGTCTCCCTAAACAGAGTAGGTCATGTTTCATTCACAAGTTTGTTGGGCTGGTCTACTTTCCTGCAGGTTACGGGGGTCTTGCTCTATTTTTTTGCTTTCTGGGTTGTCTTGCATTTATGTTTTTATTCTGTGAAATAGGCTGCAGCACACTCTAGGGTGGTTGTGTTAGAGCAAGTTTGTCCATGTTTTTGGAGTGTTAAAAGCGCTGGCGTGCTGAAATATACAACATGCGGTATCAGTGGCATTGCGGAACACCCCTGTAACCTTGTGCCAAGGTAACGTGGCTAAAGGTCTACCAATCAGAAGTGGGCTAGTGTGTATATGGGCGGTCCATGGGGAGACCAACGTTAGTTTTACCATTGTGCAATCTACTGTTTTTGTCTTCTTTGTTTAAAGATAAATGAATTGTTCTTCATAACAGAAATTTGCCACATCCGAAATTGCCTTAAGCGGTCTGCACTGTAATCAGTTTGCGTCACAGCATTGAATGTAATTTCTTCAACAAAGAGAAATAACTCTAGCACATGACATCTGTTACAGACTGGGCCGGCCTGAAGACTGTGCAGGAGCTGTTGCCTACTTGGTCTCCGATGATTCCTCTTGGGTGACAGGGGAGACCATTGTGGTGGCTGGAGGTGTCACAAGTCGGCTGTAGCTGTCATTCAGAGTTGTCTCCTCTTGTCATTAATCTGCAAATTTGGATGAAAATACGGCAGAGCGGTTGTTCTCTTTCTGTGACTGGGTCAATGTTAGTTTGGCAAGCTGACGACAGATCAACTGAACAGGTGGAGGAATAGATATGTAGATAGATAGAAATGATTTTTTTCATTTTTGTCCTTCAATTTTTCATTCATGGTTGACTGACATGAACATTTAAAATTTACAAATGGTAAAACCATAACCCTCCTGTGGATTCGGGGCCGCCATTGGAAGGGGGGCTTTACTCACTGTTCACCATGCATGTCATAAAAGGCAACTAGTTAGGAGTTTGCTGAAATGGAAGGTTGAGCCGAAAGGTACAGATATCCCAGCCTAGCTGTAAACCACACCACATATTGATAGCTTGTGAAGGATAAATGCAGAAGAAGCTGCAGGGCTGCAGGTTACACAAGGGAATGCTGACATAATAACCGGCATCAGAGCACTCGGGACATTCCCAAAAGTGCTCCGTTTCCATCAGCAGCAGCAATCACAGTTCCAGTTTTGGTGGCAATAGTAAAAGTTTGATTGTCTGTCTGTCCCGCCTTTCCCTCGAGTGTTAAAGCTAACTTGCGAATCACTTGGTGTAGCAATGATACACTAATTATATCATTTTAGAGGTTGAACAAGATACCTTGGATTTGTCATGTTGGATTAGAATCCAGGATTTGGGTCTTGAAGAGACAGGGGTGGTTAGATCTTTAGGCGGCTGCCCAGAGGACAAAAACAGACAAAAAGAAGACAATAACAGAAAGCTTTGTTGTGGCATACTTGTACCAGTTTCAGAAGTGGATAGGTGGATAGACAGACAGGAAATGTCTGTTAAACAGAGATAATTAAAATGAGTAATGAATTACCATATGTCGTAAGAGTCAACTAATTGGGAGTTTTCTTTGAAGTCAGAGTACATGTGCCTAAGAGGCAAGGAACCAACAGTCTGCATGCAAATAACTTAGACCTGTGAAATGGTTGTACATGCAACACTCAGTTTCTGGAACAGGACTTTGGCCCAGAAGTGGACGAACGACCAGAACTTTTCTGCCGCAGTTTACAGTCCCCGAACACAAAGAAGAAGAAGAAGAATAAGAAGAAATACCTTATACTGAATATAGATAAACAGACAGATAAATAGATTAGGAAGGCAGGTGGATAAGTTGCATTATCTCATTTTTTTTTCATCACTTGGAACTTTATCAAGATGTTCAAGATTATTTATACAATAATGTTATGCACACATATTGTTGTTGTTGTTTTTTTTTTTTTAATTCATATTCGTTAATTACTGTATTAGAACATGGTGGATCATCTGGTATTCTATTGCTACCTGAGACAACAGATCATGTCCTCCAAGACTGTCCCAAATACAACATATCAAGGCAACACTTTTGGCCAAGAGAAACATCGGTGCAAGTCAAACTTTACGGGTCGCTGTGGGAATTACAACAGATAGTGAAGTTCATACTAGAGACAACATTGCAGATATAGATAATCTATTTCATGCAAACCAAAGAAGAAGAATCTGGTAAAATACTGGCTTCTCATAGATCCATAGATATGAATGTGTGATTCCATATTTTCAATTTTCAGAACCAAATATAAGAAAGACACACTAGAAATGTGTGTTTTTATTGTTAAAAATAAATTATTGCTATGCTACTCACCATTCTATCCCTAAAGCTTAAAACTTCAAAAATTGATTCTCGTCCATCTGTAACATCCTTGTTCATTGTGGTTTAGATTTTCTGTCGATCTGTTGTTTGAAAAAAGAATTCCGTTCTCTCTGCATTTGTTCTCCCCCCCCCCCCCCCCCCCCCCCTGCTGAGCCTTCTAGTCATAGTTTGTGGTCATATGTTTCTACCATTTTAGTTACCTTATGCATTTTCACTTTGTGTGTATGCAAGCTTCATGATTTGGCTGGCACTGACAAGTTTTGGAATGGGACATTTTAGACGTATTAGGGGATTTCCAGTCACAAGCACAGAGCATTTATGGGATGACCCATTTTTTGGTGTTTTTTTTCTTCAAAATAACCTTTTCTCCCAGCCTTAAATGAGTACCGGGGGGGGGGGGGGTGGGGGGGGGTGGGGGGGGGGGGGGGGGGGGGGGGGGTTGTCATGGGAATTAAAGGCGGCCGACGGGATACTGACAACATCACCCACTGAGTGCCGATTGTTAAATAAAATATAGATCCAGCCCTATAAGCCAAATTCGGCCGAAAGTGAGCAAAAGGGTGCTTTACTTTGTGTCTGTATGTGCCAGGTTTTTAAGGCGGTGTAGACTAACTAGCATTTCAAAAAAGAAAATGAAAGTGAGGAAGAGACAGCCAATGCTGCCTGTATATTAAACACTTTTGCAGTGAAGGTATGTGAGTCTTCGAACCTGAGGATTTAGGGCTGCATAGCTGGTGCTGTCACCGTGAATTGTGCAGGTTAGGATTTTTGTCCCCGACAGGAACAAATCCACAACCTTAAAGCTAAACGTTCTAAACCATTCAGCTCAGGTATATGTTGTTAGACCTATATTTGTGTAGACCAGTCGGCATTCAGTGACTGATGTGGTCAACATCACACCAGCCGCCTTTACTTCCCATGATGTTCAGTGTTAAATTAAGAATGGACATCACAGCACTCAGGACACCTCCATAAGCCCCCCGGCGCCATCTTTAGCAGCAAGCGCAGAGTTCCAGTTCGGATGGTACCAGTAACTGTCTGATTGTACATCCGTTTCACCTTTCACTCAAGTGTCCAGCGCCGGCCAGATCCCTTGGTAACCCCCCCGCAGCGTTATTCTCCTCCGATCGTAATGATCTGTTTATGCACCCATATTATCTGGTACTCTTCTTAGCGAAAGTCGACCTGCAAGATAAGGTAAATGTTGAAAACATTCCACCTCAGTGAGGACTTGAATCCTAGACCTCCAGGCCAGAAGATGAGTATTTAGCTGCTGTGGCTCTCATGTCTAACATTTAGGAAGATTGACTAATAAACAGCATCTTGTTGTAGAAGTTATAGTTTGGTCGTATCAAGCGCCATGGCAGATTGGAAAAAATAATAGCAGAAGGCATGGTACCAGGAAGGAGGGGGGAGGGGCCAACCAATACGAAGATGGGCACAGGATGTAAGTGACTCCTTGAATATGAAAGTACACGAGGAGGGAGAGACCGAGCTTCTTTCAGACAGACCGTGATGAGAGCGACGTTCTGCAAAAAACCTGCTACATGATGATGATGATGAGTGTGTTTGTTCTGTGAAAAGTGAGATGATTGTGTGAATCAAGTAATGACTGAATCCACAGCTATGACCAGATGGAAAAAACCAGCAGGTGTAAAGAAGTGAGGCCAGACAATGGCATTATGTGAAAAAATTATGAGTTTGGAACCGATTTAAAAGCACTTGGGACATTCCCATAAGCGTTCTATCCCCATCATCAGCAGCAAGCGCTGAGTTCCCATTTCGTTAGTGCGAGTAACAGTTTGATTGTATGTCCGTCTCGTCCCTTCTCATTCACTTTCTAGAACCTGAGAAGTCAATGCATGTGACCACTCATCCTGGTGCTCCTCTCTTTATCGAGGTGCTGTGGCCCATGAAGCTGCTAGAACTGCAGCAGCAATTCAGAACAAGCCAGGAAAGACACTGAAGCAAATCACGAAAGAGATGCTGCCTCAATTCCCTGTCCACTCTGCTCAAGAACTTTCGGTGCTAGAATTTGCCTTATCAGCCAACTGGGCACTCACAAAACTTAACCCAGTCACCAAGGGATGAAAGGATTGGTTATTATCACTTGTGATGGATCAACAACAACAACAATCACTCAGACTCCAGAAGTCTGGAGGAAATCGCTTCTGTTGGTTTACTATGAATAATTCTTACTATAAAGTTATCACTGTATGGCTCTGGAGAATAAGTTACATTTCAGAACAGAAACAATATAGTGAAAATAATAACAATCCAGAAACAGCTATAGTAATAATATTTCAGGACACACAGTTACAGAAATAATATTTCAGGACACACAGTTACAGAAATAACATTTCAGGACACACAGTTACAGAAATAACATTTCAGGACACACAGTTACAGAAATAACATTTCAGCACACAGTTACAGAAATAACATTTCAATAACATTTCAGGACACACAGTTACAGTAATAATATTCCAGGACACACAGTTACAGTAATAATATTTCAGGACACACATTTATAGTAATAACATTTCAGGACACACATTTATAGTAATAACATTTCAGGACATGTTTATTGTTATAACAACATATCTGGACAGAAAGTTACAGTAAAAACAACAATCCAGGACAAACACTGTTATAGTAATAACAACATTTCAGGACAATGTTATAGTAATAACAAAATGTCAGGACAGACACAATTATTGTAATAACATTTCAGGACAGACACGGGTATAGTAATGATAACATTCAAGGACAGGCACACTGTATTAATGATAACATTTCATGACAGACACATTATAATAATAACATTCCAGGACAGAACAACAGCAATGGAAAAGGCATCAAGGTTACTATGCTATCACACACACAACAGCATTTAAACAAGACAAAACAAACAGGAACTATTGTGAACAGTCTGTCTTTTATTTGTCTACACAAAAAGAAGAATATGACACTAATGTTAGAAGTTACAGAAGCAGATAAGGCTACCAGCACAAACAACAATGTCTCTTCCTAGTGTTGAAAGAACACCTTTTCATCCCCTAATGCTCTCTCTCTCCTACACACACACACATACAACCACCCCCCCCCCTCCCCCAACCTCCAACACACACATACAATATACATCTCTTTCTTCCTCTCCAAATAAGTGAAAAAAACTGTTGTGTCTCCTTACAATTTGCATCTATCTCTACACACCTAAAAACTTCTTATGTCTCCTTAAAATTACCACCCCCCCCCCCCCCTTTCCCCGTTCATATAACTTTTATGTCTCCTTACAACTGACACACAAAACATATATGTTCCCCTACAAATTACCCGCCTCTCTCTCTCTCACACACACACACACATATATTTTTATATATATATGAATATAAATGTATGTCCCCCTACAAATTACCTCTTTCAATCTCTCTCTCACATTTACAACACTTTTACACACAACCCCTTTCCCCAACAACTGATATAAATTACACTTCCTTCCCAAGTGTCCCAGCCAGCCAGTTGTGAGCCACCATTTTGCGGTCAGCGGTACGCAAAAACTCTCGGGGAAACCGCCGGTACCAATCCGCAGCCTTCTGGATATCCCCCTTAGAGTAGTCCTCGGCCCAGACCTTCCTCGTGGCCACGGCCTTCATCTGCTTGTGCCTCGGGTGGTCACTGCACTCGACAAACTTCCTTCCGTGACGCCACACAAAGTAACACCCCTGACACTTCAACCTCGGTCTGACGGCACTCTCATACCATCGAACCTGCAGGGCTCCCGGCGTGAAACCGCTGACAAGAACCGCTGGGTGACTCTGGCTGCCAAAAGTGAACAGCGAACCGGCACGTTTCGAGAAATCAGCTCTGGTATCTGAAACCTTGCCGCCAGAGGATGCTGCTGACGGAAGTGTAGATAGTGATCTGGCCACCGTGGATGCTGGGGTATAGTTGCGCTGAAGGAGACATCTTGTGAGTGTTGCAGCATGTCTTATCTGGGAGACCAGGCTATTCAACACTGTACTGGTCATTTTCTTGAGGCCAGACTGCAGTAGTGGGAACAGAAACACTGGAAAAGAATGGGGGAAAAAAAGCATGAGTATCATCATCATCAAGTTTCACGTGGGTTCTAGGGCCTCACCGTGGGGCACAAGAAAAGACACATTGCTTCTCTAACAAGCAGGTCATAGGAAGTAACTAATTAGAGGTGTTTCCTTCAATGCTGCCCTACATCTGCCTGAGAAGCGAGAAACCAACAGTTTGCATAAAATATGCCAGGTCTGTAAAACGAATGTCCACACAAAACTCCAGCTGGGGAAACAAGACTAATGTCTAGAAGTGGGCTGAGTTGAGTCAAGAATTGACATCACAGCAACTCGGGGCATTCCCATGTGTGCTCCGTCCTCATCTTCAGCAGCCAGCACAGAGTTCAAACACTGATGGTACCGGTCACAATCTGGTTATATGTCCGTCTTGCCTTTTCTCTGAGTGTATTGAGCCGGCCGGATCCTCTGGTTACACCCAGATGCCTCATTCTCTCAAGGCCATAATAATCTTGTTTCTCTACTGATTCTGTTGCTTGTTCCCAAAGGGCCTTGACCACATCTGCCTTGTCTTGTATCAATTCACCCCCAGTGGTGCAGAACCTCTAGAAGTGGATGAGCTACCAGCACTTTCCACAGAGTTTACAGCTTGTCAACATAAAGAAGAAGAATCATCAAGTGCCTCGCCAACTGGAGTGGGTAATTATGCCTCTCCACGATATGTGATCTTCAACAGGATGTATCAGTGTGTGTGTTGACACCTCTCCACGATATGTGATCTTCAACAGGATGTATCAGTGTGTGTGTTGACACCTCTCCAAGATATGTGATCTTCAACAGGATGTATCAGTGTGTGTGTTGACACCTCTCCACGATATGTGATCTTCAACAGGATGTATCAGTTTGTGAGTTGACACCTCTCCAAGCCATGACAGAAAGCTGTCAAGAACCTTCTTGTGTTGTCTTCCTCTGTTTTTTTTTTCCAGACCTTTCCGATTCAAAACATATCTCAGTTCCTTATATTCATACTATGACCAAAAGATTATGACTGTCTCCTTCTAATAGCTGAGGTAAGTTGCCTTCGAGTCCTTGCCTCTTCCAAAACATCTGGGCTGTTTATTTGGCTGTCCAAGGAATTCTAGAATGCCCTGTCTGCCGAAGCGAGCCACACTAAAACATTACAACGGGTATAGAGCGAATGAAAGACCTAGGAAAATGTGGAGTGATGGCATAAAGAACAGCCTTACAGAAATGAACATCAATCTTAAAAGTGCTCTTGGCAGAGGTCATCAACGAATGTTACATCTCCCCCGAACGCTTCGCTAAGGTAGAAGATGAAAGAAGGGAATTCTTAGAATTCTTCCATAAAAACATATCTCTGCAGGCTAAAGAAATGGTTAATATATCAATACATCAGACAAATTCTCAGAATATCATGGACCAAGCAGAGGAAAAACACCAACATCCTACAGGATGTGAGCAGTGAGGAAAACTGGCTCATAAACAGCATCTTGTCCTGAAAGCAACAGTATTTTGGCCATGTTAAGCATCAAGGTGGCCTGGAGAGAACATGGCTGGAGGGGACAGTTTCTAGAGAACAATGCAGATGCAGACCTCCGTGAATGTGGACACAGAAGATGCACTGGACCTACTGTGACTCCAACAAGCATGGCACAGAATATTACTAATTGCTTAAAAAAAAAAAAAACAGTTTTGTTGTGTATCCTCTATAGGACACTGCAGAACCAGCCCTAGCATTTATTGGCGGTTTCTGGTTTTTCTAGACAAATTTTACGTTCAATAGTTTACAAGTCTTTCAGCTCAAGCCACACCAGATTTGTTAATAACTTCTGAGCATTGATTTACCTTCACAGCATAATGTGTTGATTTCAACATTTGCTCAACATTTCCCAACAGTCGCCAGCCTTGTGTATATTGCCACTTTGAAAGTAATGCAGTCATGAAATTTCATCACGGTTATTTCTCCACTTTGCTTTCTCTGGTGACACCGTCAGGTGACGAAAGAGTTAATGCCATGTGAGATACTTTGTTTTTAATACTGGCACCTGTTTTCCAGAAGAAGAAAAAAGTTCTGGTCTTCACTAGCAGACCAGATCACTTGTGACTTCAATGAAGGGGCTTTTGGAGAATGTTGAATGCTGAATTAAGAATCAACATCACAGCACGCGGGATACTCCCATAAGTGATCAGTCCCTATCTTCAGCAGCAAATGAAAAGTTCAAATTCTGATGGTATCAGTAACCATCCCTTGGTAACTCCTCACAGCGCCATTCTCCTTAGACTGCAATGATCTATCTGCGCCTCTGCACTGTTTACTTGCTCCCAAAGGGCCCTCACAATATCTAACTTGTCATACATCAATTCACCACCAAGTGGTGCAAAGCCAGCCAGTCTATCTGCCTGCTCATTTCCCAATACATCAGCATGACCTGGAGAAAATTTCCAAAGGAAATTTCCGATACAGAGAAGTCAGCAGAGGATGATAGAAGATGTGTGTAATTATCTTAATTACATCCTCCATTTGAGTTCCAGCACCGTAAGTTTTTCAAGTTTTGTGTGTGCAGCTGGAAGGTGGGGGCACAATAGTTACAGACTAACTGCACTCCTGACAAGCATGTCGCACAAGGCGACTAGAAAGATGAGTTTCCTTTAAAGTCTGAAGGCACCAGCCTGAGAGGCAAAGAACCAACAGCGTGCATGCAAATAAGCCAGATCTTTAAAAGGGATGTACACATAAAACTACTACTTTTTCGCATTGAGCGTGAAAACTCTAAAAGTTGTGATTGTTTGTCCACCTCTGGACTGTGGTACCGTTCTAAAACCTGACTGTTGTGCGCAGTTCCATTTTACAGGTCTGGCATATCTGTATGCAACTTGCTGGTTCCTTGTATTTCACGAAGGGGTTGTGTTAGCGCAGTTAATAGGAAACTCAAACCAGCTGCGACTCAGTGCAGCCCACAGCTTATGTTTGAAACTGGGCTGTTCCCAGGTATACCCAGCCTCTAGGAAATGGGTACCACAGTTACCACTCTGGGGTAAATGGAGGAACGTCGCTGTAGCTACGGAGTTGCGTGCGGATGGCGACACAGGCGGACAGTTTCTTATCAGCTGTCCATACTGGTGGCAGAGTACTTTTGGTTTATAATCATGTGCAATGACGCTGGTTCACATCTGCCGACTTTACCTTTTTTTTTTTTTTTTTACCTTTTTCAAGTTTACGCAGATGCACTACCTATGCACCTCGACTTTGAAGAAACCCCTAGTCGACTCTCGCAACGTGTTTGTTGAGGAGGCAGTTGGTATACTCTTTTTTTACCCCCTATGGAGCAACAGAACCCAAATGGGGAGCATGTAAAAGTGAAATTCTGGAACAAGACCAAAGGCCAAGAGTGGACGAACAACCATTCATTTTAAACCAGCCCTAGAAGTAAGCAATTTCCGTTACCACGGAAACCGTTCAAAACTTGCTTCGGAAATGTTGGCTGGAGTTTCGGGATGGGTCCTAATCTCTCATGAAATTTTGCGATTGGTGTGATTTTCACCCACTCTAAATAGCTGAAAACAGCGGGAAGGAACCCGATTAACAGCGCATGTCTACGACAGCCGGACGTCCTCTGTTTTTCTGTTACATCAGTTTGATTGAAAATAAATAGCGCTAAGTATTCAAGGTTGGCTTTAGGCTTTAACTGTTACTGGCCCTGGTAATGCTAGTTATAATTGAATTCTCCATCCATTTTTACATTTGTGTATAAAATGTCTTTCTGAACCGTGGCTAGGTAGATGTACAGTGACATTTTTCAGGCAATCACTGGCTCAGCCAGTGGCTGTGTCTCATTTGCTGCCATCTTGTCCAATGTAAACAAAGCCAAAACGAAAGTTGCACAGTTTGGTTGCGCAGAGAAAACCTCTTGTTTCTGGGAGGTAAGTTTTAGCAGTTGCTTTCTACATCTCTCTCATCTCCACAAAAACCTACATATCTCAGCTCAGAAATGACATACAAGGCTAAATGAGGTACCGTTGGAAAGAAATTGTTTACAGCTATCTAGCTGTGCTGGTTTTATTGGTGTAGAGGGCATTTTGAAAATTTGACTAAAGTACCTAGTTAGTAGGTAGTTGTAGCTTAGCCGGTGAACGCAAAGAATAATAATAAGAGTGAACAACATGGGCACATAACATAAAACTAACATTATAATGGTATTGATAAACATATTTTATGCCAGCGGCAGTTAATACCTTACAAGTTAAGCAAAAGCCGTCAGTGAACAGAGATCGCTGTCGTTGAGTTTCTTTCACGTTCCTCCACTCAAGGACGACGCCATTTTACTTTATTTTCCTGCTCAGGGTTGCCAGATAAAAAAAACTTTATTTTATGCCAAACCAGTGTCCAAAATATGCCAGAAAATGCCAGATGAAGTGTAACATTGTACTCGCTTCACATCAAAAGCTCTAGATTGAATTCTACACTGCCATCCTCACTGGAAGACGCAGCGTAAACCTCTTCGTCGGATGTAAAATCTTTAAGCATTTTCTCAGATGGGATGAAATCTTTGCAAGTCACCTATAATGATGGTATATTTCTTGTTCCAAAAATCACCAATAAGGTCACCCTGCATTGTTACTAAGGGAAATAACCTGCTAAACTGTGAATACTTTAGTCTATGGAGTTATCCTTCTTTTCAATTTAAATGTCAGATGCTTTTTTAGTAATCAGTCGAACGCAAACATAAGTTACAGGATATGGGTTTGTTGAAACAAATATAACAGGACAGGGGTTTGTTGAAACAAATAAATAAAAACAGCAGAAATACTTGACATCTTTCCATAATGCATTGTACAAAACATTCAGCGTAATTTCCGCTACAAATAAGCAGATTTAGTCGTAACCAAACGGTCACGAAGCTAGTTACGTGTTTCGTCCTTTTTAGGACTAATTTTTTTTTTGTTTTTTGAAGCCCCACCCTGGCTTT